CTCATTTCTTCCATTTGCTTTAGCTGGTGACCAAGTTTCAGTGTCTCTTCTGACATCTATTTTTATCTTTTCCTTCTTTCTTGTCTTCTTAATAAGTTTTTGCTTTCTTCCTATATGATATTCTTGATGTCATCCCACGACTCTTCTCATCTTTGGTCTTTAGTGTTAATATATCAAATCTTTTCTTCAGATGATCTCTAAATTTAGGTGGGGTATATTCAAGGTCATAGTTTGACTCTCATGGACTTGTTTTCATTTTCTTCAGCTTCAGTATGAATTTGCATATGAGCAATTGATGGTCTTTTTCACAATCTGCCCCTGGCCTTGTTTTGGCTGATGATATGGAGCTTTTCCATCATCTCTTCCACAGATGTAGTCAGTTTGATTTCTGTGTATTCCAACTGGTGAGGTCCATGTGTTTAATCGTCTCTTATGCTGTACAAAGAAGATATTTGAAATGAACAAATCATTGCTTTTTCAGAATTCTATCATGCGTTCTCCAGCATCATTTCTATCACCAAGGCCATATTTCCCAACTACAGATCCTTCCTCTTTGTTTCTAACCTTTGCATTCCAATCACCAGTAATGATCAATACATCTTGATTGTATGTCTGATCAAATTCAGCTTGAAGAAATTGGTAGAATTCTTCTATTTCATCCTCACTGGCTTTAGTGGTTGGTGCATAAATTTGAATAATAGTGGTATTAACTGGGCTTCCCTGTAGGCACATGCATATTATCCTATCACAGGCAGTGTTGTACCTCATGACTGATTTGGATATGTTCTTTTTAACGATGAATGCAACAATATTCCTCTTCAATTTGTCATTCCTGGCAAAGTAAACCATGTGGTTGTCAAATGCAAAATGGCCAATACAAGTTCATTTCAGCTCACTAATACCTAAGATATTGATGTGTATTCATTCCATTTCATTTTTGACAGGTTCCAATTTTCCTAGATTCATACTTTGTAAATTTCATGTTCCAATTACTAATGGGTGTTTATAGCTGTTCCTCTTCACTTTGAGTTGTTCCCCATCAGCAAATGGAGGTCCTGGGGGCTTTACTCCCACAGGCTTTACTCCATTCACATCATCATGGTCAACTCTACTTTGAAGAGGCAGCTCTTCCCCAGTCGCATTTTGAGTGCCTTCCAACCTGAGGGGCTCATTTTCTAGCACTGTATCTGACAGTGTTTCTCTGCTATTCACAAGGTTTTCAGTGACTAAATATTCGTAAATAGTTCATCTCTCCTTCTTCCTATTCTGTCTTTTCTGGAAGCTCATCTGAAACCTGTCCACCATGGGTGACCCTGCTGGTATTTAAAATACCAGTGGCATAACTTTCAGAATCACAGCAACTCACAAGCCACCACAGTGCAACAAACTGACAGACGGGTGGTGGCATGATTTGTTATAAGGGTTTTTATTAGTCAGAACTGACTCGATGACACTTAACAATAACAACAAGGTCCCTTTGATTTCAAATTTCACACTACTTGTGATCTACTGGACTTGGTATCTAGGCTGGACTATACAAATTTCTTTCATATAAATAAAAAATGATTGGAACCCAAAATTTTCATACAATTCCATCTAGTACAGGCAAGTTAATGCAACAATGTGTCACTTATCAAATTTATCATTGTTGGAAGACAATCTGCATGTGCAAATAGAAAAGTATGTTAAAGTTCAATGAAGAGTCACAGTCCAGGAGACTAGAGGGCTAGAGCTCCAGCATCTCAGAGGTGTGAGAGGCCAGCCTGGGGTCAGAGGAGAGCTCTTCAAGGGAAAAGAGGCCCAGGCAGAACTTAAAAAACACTAGATTTACAGAGCTACAAAGAAGGAGGACATGCACATAGTGTGAGGTTGCATGAAGTAGTTGGGGTAGGGGCAGACCTAGGGAACAGAGGTAATATAGACTCCTTTCTCTTAACATGGGTGAAATTCACTCTTCTTGCACAGGTTGATCTTTGTGACTATATCTCAGTCAATGGAGCCACTGCCCACCCTCACATTGAAAGTGATGGAACTGTTTACAACATTGGTAATTGCTTTGGGAAGAATTTTTCGATTGCCTACAATATTGTAAAGATCCCTCCCCTGCAAGCAGGTCAGTTTACCATTTGTGCCTCTTCTTAAGCAAATATTAATATTGTTACAGTTATGGAAAATAGAGGATGTCAGATAAGACTACTAGGATAGCATTATATGGATAGTTAAATGACTCTCAAGACTTCAGAGCTATGACTCTACCTTACCCTACCCTTCCAGGAGATCAATGTCCAAAAACTGTAGAGTGATAGTTGTTCAGGCAGAACCTTGGTAGGTAGCAACAGCTAGAAAATAGAGCCCAAGTTTTACTCTAAAACTTTTCAAATCACTCATTCACTCACTGCTGTAGAGTCGATTGCAACTCCCAACAACCCTATTATAGAAAAGAGCTGAACTACTCCCCAGAGTTTGGGAAGCTATAAATATTCATGGTAACAGAAAGCCTCATCTTTCTCCCACAAAGCAGCCAGTGGGTTTGAACCACCCACCTTGTAGTTAGCAGCCCAATACTTAACCCACCATGTCACTAGGACTCTTTACTTTTAAAATATTTTATATATCTATATGAGTTTGGTCATGTAAGATTTCATTTCAAATCCATCAAACTTTTCTTGAGTACCTATTTATGTGAGGTAGTAGTGTAGTGGTTACGAATCGGGTTGCAAAAGGCACAAGGTCAGCAGTTCGAAACTACCAGCCGTTCCGTGGGAGAAAGATAAGGCTTTCTGCGTCTGTAAAGATTTACAGCCTCGGAAACCCTGTACAGGGTAACTATGAGTTGGAACCGACTCCACAGCATATAACAACAACAATCATAAGCTCTGGTGGCACAGTGGGTTAAACATTGGGCTGCTAACTGCAAATTTGGTGGTTGAAACCCACCAGTTGCTCATTGGGAGAAAGATGAGACTGCTTTCATAAAGATTTAGTCTCAGAAACCCTACGGGGCTGTTCTGTTCTGTCCTACAGAGTTGCCATGAGTCAGATTCTACTCAATGGCAGTGAGTTTGGTTTTTGTTTATATGTGTGGATAATAACATGCACACATATATATGAGTATGTTGTTGTTGTTAAGTACCATGGAGTCGGTTCTGACTCATAGTGACCCTGCACAGGGTTTCTATAGCTGCAAATCTTTACGGGAGCAGAAAGCTTGAGGTTAACAGCCCGATTCGTAACTACTACGCCACCATAGCTCCTTATATATGAGTATACCAGTATTTAATTTTGTGTCTTTAATTCTCACAACAGAATATCTCTGAACTCACATTAAGACTATAGATAGAGTATCAAACCAGAAGGAAATCTCCACTCATTCCCTATGAATTGCCAGAGGTTTAATAACCATTGTGACAAAATAATTCGTTGAATGTATATAGATTCTTCCTTAGAATCAATTAGTAAAGTGGTATTTGAAGTGTAGTAGTCTCTGAAATAGCAGCATCAGCTTCCCCTGGGATCTTGTCAGAAATACAAGAACTGAGACCCACCTCAAAGAGACCTGAAGGAGAAACTTTGAGAGTAGGGTCCTAGAAACACAGGATGTAAACTGATGTAAACTAAGGTTTGAGGACCATTGACTTCAGAGTAAAATAAACTTTAACGTACATAAGAATTACTTTACAAGGCTATTGACACAACACCATGCATAAGATACAGGCAATTTAAGAACTTAAGGAATTATAAAGGGCATTGTGACTCTACTTAAGTTTGTCTTCCCTGGCTAGAACTCACCTCTGGTTGTTTTTAAGATGTAAGTTCACTGTTTCCTGCCTGCTACAACTTTGTCAGAGTACACGTTTCCAAATTTGCCGGTATTTGGATTTTTCTGCGCAGTTGTAGCTTCACATAAAAGCTTGTTAAAAAATGTCAATGATTGAGATTATAAAAATATCTTTTCTGAACAAATGTCAAGATCTGAAAATGTATGTCTTTGGTGTTCTAAATGCTCTAGGTTTGTGTGTTTTTATAAAAAGACCTTTTTCCAAAGTCTTTTAAAAGCACTTTATTTCAGATAACCAAGACCCAATAAGCAAGTCAGAGGTCGTTGTACAATTCCCCTGCAGTGATCGATTCAAGCCATCTTATGTCCATAGGTAACTTGAAGTCCTGCTATGAATCTTCTGGAAAACTGAAGTTTTAAGATCTGTTTTGCTTATCTTTAATATCAATCCAGATCATAGTATTTTCTTATAAACAACTAAATTTAAATGTAATTGATTTTATGTGTTGTTGTTGTTGTTAAGTGCCGTTGAGTCGGTTCCGACCCATAACGACCCTGTACAGGGTTTCCGAGGGTGTAAATCTTTATGGGAGTAGAAATCCTCATCTTTCTCCCGCGGAGTTGCTGGTAGTTTCGAACCGCTGACCTTAAGGTTCACAGCCCGATTCGTAACCACTACGCTACTGGGCATATTACTGTATACATTTATCTTTGTGACTTGACATTCAACCCTTCCCATTCATGACTCCATTTGTGTTTCTGACTAGTTTTGGTTTGACTCCCAACTATATTGTGTTTGTGGAGACACCAGTCAAAATTAACCTGTTCAAGTTCCTGTCTTCATGGAGTCTTTGGGGAGCCAACTATATGGATTGTTTTGAGTCCAATGAGACAATGGGGGTAAGTCTTACATGAGGGGCAAGATAGTTCAGTGGTAGAATTCCCACTTTCTGTACAGGAGGCCCCAGTTTGGTTCCTGGCTTATGCACTTCTAGTGTAGTCTCCACCCACCTCTTTGCTATGATGCTGAACAGATATCAGTGGAGAAGCCAGACTAAGACAGACTAGGAAGAAAAGCCTGGCAACTTGTTTCCAAAAAAACCAGTCAGTGGAAGCCTTATGGACCATAATGATCTGATCTTGTTGTACGTGGGGTTGCTATGAAGTAGGGGACAACTTAACAGCATCTAGCAACAAGTTTTATATTTATGTATCATGTTTGTAGTTCTGAAGGTATATTTCATAATATTCCCCCCCCCTTTTTATAATGTATCCAAATATTTTCATCATTTTGTAAGGTTTGGCTTCATATTGCTGACAAAAAAAGAAGAAAATACCTCAATAACAAATACAGGACTTCTTCTTTTAACCTCTTTCATCACATCAACACCTATGAAGACAATGGATTTCTGATTGTGGATCTCTGTTGCTGGAAAGGGTAAGGGAAGACGGGATAAATAGCATCTCCCTAATTGCTCCTAAAAATGAGGACCTTTTTACAGAGAAGCTGCTCTCAATATTTAATCTGAATAACATCAATAGGGATGCTAAAGTCACAAAATGTAATTGAAAAAGCAGTAGGAAATTTAGAAGATCAGAAACAAACTGGCTATCAACAAAAAAAACTATGGTTAATAACCATTAATGATCAGGCCCATAAAAATAAAAGGTTTTGTGACCCAGGCAACACAAATGGTTAACATGCTCAGCTATTAACTGAGAGATTAGAGGTTTGGGTTCGCCCAGAGGCACCTCAGAAGAAGGTCTGGAAATCTAACTCTGAAAAACCAGCCATTGAAAATCCTATGGTGTAAAATTCTACTGTGACACACAGGGATCACTATAAGTCATACTTTTCTGGTTACCTGACAAATTCATTTAAAATTCTTGCTAGTTGCTATTGTCAGTCCCAAGTCATGGTGATCTTATGTGTAACAGAACCAAATGCTGCCAATCCTGTGCCATCTTCTTAATTGTTGGTACCTTTGAACCCAGTATTGTGACTATTGTGTCAATCCATCTGATGAAGGGTTGCCCTCAGTTTTGGTCACCTCTACTTTACCAATCATGAACTTGGCAAGATTTGGGAGAGGCCTTGAAGCCCATTTTTTGATTGAGAGAAAGACATGCTTTTTTTCAAAATAGCCAAGTCATTAAAATGATAATCCCTAAAGATACAAGAAGAATTGTGGCAAAGAAGCAGAACAGAAATTTGCTAAGGCTACTGTGATTTAAACATATCCATGAGGCAAGTTTCTTTTTTCACGAAGCGTGGGTAGTAGAAAATAGCTTCAATAAACCTGGGTCATTAGCAGTTTCTGGGTTGTGGAATAAAGAATAGGCACACACCTTGACTTTTAGAAGGTATGAATCATCTGTCTAAAATTATTTTTCATGGTGTATGCTCATGTTTGACTTTTCTTTTTTTTCAGATTTGAATTTGTTTATAATTACTTATATTTAGTGAATTTACGTGAGAACTGGGAAGAGGTGAAAAAGAATGCCAGAAAGGCTCCCCAACCTGAAGTTAGGAGATATGTACTTCCTTTGAATATTGACAAGGTAACCTCCCTCTACATAGATTTCAAATGTAACCAGAATGTTTCATCTCTTTCAGGAATTGTTCTCCTTCTTCATGTTTATGTATCTAAAGTCTTGAAATTTTAGAGCTCAAGAAACTTTAAAAATAAATCAATTTAACTCCCTTATTTTACAAACAAGGATACTGAAGCACGTAAGAGTGACATATCTTAGCAAAAGTCAAGCAGCAGAGCCAGGATGAAAATCAGGCTTTCAAAATTCTATAGCTGTTGTTCTTTCATTTACAAAATCCTTTAAAACTATACTTACTTATAGACTAGTAAAGAGCTGCTAATTCCTAGGATCCTTTGTTAATAACATAGATAATTTAAATCATTAGAGATTATAGAGAGATGAAGCATCAAAAAGAACCTATGTAGGGAAATTAGTCCATTATTTTTGTTTTTACAAATCTTCTGGAAATATCATTGGATGATTAAAAATGTTAATAGCATTAGATGACCATCTCTTGATTTCTACTTTTACTTCTCTGTGTTTTCAAAATATCAGAGCAATACTAAGAATTTTTATTGTGATGCAAATGTCAGTTGAAGACAACAAAATTCATGTAATTTATATGTATTTGGATAAGCACTGGATCACAAGGCCATTTTAAACTGTAAGATCAGCAGTTCAAATCCACCAGCCACTCCTTGGAAACCATATACAGGGTAACTATGAGTCATAATCCTTATTAGTGGACCAGTAAATAACATTATGATAAATGGAGAAAAGATTAAAGTTGTCAAAGAATTCATTTAGCTTAGATCCAGGATCAGTACTCATGGAAGCAGATGTCAACAAATCAAACAACATGTTGCACTAGGCAAATCTAAAGCAAAAGATCTTCTTTTAAGTATTAAAAAGCAAAGATATCAGTTTGAGGACAAAAATGGGCCTGACCCAAGCCTTGGTATTTTCAAGAGTCTTATATGAATGTGAAAGTTGGACAAAGACTGTAGAAGAATCAATGCATTTGAATTATGGTATTGAAGAAGAATATTAGAAGTAATATAGACTGCAAGAAGAAAAACAAACAGATCTATCCTGGAAGAAGTTTAGCCAGAATGCTCCTTTGAAGCCAGGATGGCAAGATTTCATCTCTCGTACTTTGGACAAATTATCAGGAGGAACCAGTCACTAGCGAATCATGACTGGTAAAATGAATGGTAGTCAAAAAAGAGGAACCCCCCTGAATTGATGGATTAAAACAGTGGCATTAGCAGTCAACAATTGTGAGGAGGGTGCAGCAGGTCAGGCAAAGTTTCAGTCTGTTGTGCAAAGGGTTACAATGTATTGGAACCTACTGGACAGCACCTAACCACAACATTTTATTTGTTGTTGTTGTTAGGTGCCATCGTGTCGGTACCGACCCATAGCTGATTTTCTTCATTTTGAGATAGTCCCCAGCAGCAAATGAAGGTCCCACGGGCTTTTCTCTCATGAGCTTTACTCCATTCGCATTATCACAGTCAACTCTACTTTGTGTAGGCAGCTCTTTTCCAGTCGAATCTTGCATGCCTTCCAACCTGAGGGGCTCATTTTCTAGCACTGATTCTGACAGTGTTTCTCTGCTATTCATAAGGTTTTCAGTGACTAAATATTCAGATGTAGTTTGTCACTCTTTCTTCCTATTCTGTCTTTTCTGGAAGCTCATCTGAAACCTCTCCACCATGGGCGACCCTGCTGGTATTTAAAATACCAGTAGCATAGCTTTCAGAATCACGGCAACTCACAAGCCACCACAGTATAGACGAGTGGTGGCTGTTTGATTTTAAGTGGAAACTGTCACTTTAAATTTCAAGGAGATCTGTGTGCATGTGTAGTAGAACCCTTCAGGGGTGGGGTGGGGTGTCCATTCATTCAGGCATCCCCTCTAGTCACCAGAATGGAGGTGCGCAGACAGCAAGAAACCAATGAACAGATACCAAAAAGAGAGTGTCCACACCTGTATCTCCACGGTTTTGTCAAGCGTTCGTGGCTGTTCTGATCCTTCCCCCACTTGGTCTCTCCCAAGATGGTGGCTCCAGGAGTAGCTGAGTGTCTTGAATTAGAAAGCCAAGCATTTCTTGATTCTGCTATAAATTTCCCTAGCTGTAAGCCTTCCAATCTTTTAAATAATCTGTTATATGTGGTTCAGAGTTCTAGCACCATCCCTTGAGCCTGTTTGGTCTGGTATTCTGTGTTGTTGGTGATGGAGCTCCTCACTGCACATCCACCCGATCTGCCATCTTAGATGTACATTTATAGAACCTCATTTATATTGTCTGTCACTTTCTTCATCAAACTCACTTGACAAAACAGCAATCCCAGTTCAATTCAACCCTCCTCTTTACTCCATGCTTACATCTCTGTAGCTGAACTTAAGTTAAAAATACACATTTTGATTAGTTTAATTTTAAATGCATGTGCACAAACACTGTTATGTTTTCCAACTTAATTTACTCTCCCACTTTCCTAATCAAATATTTCCCATTTTTTCTCTCTTCAAACTTCTAAAAACTACAATATCCACATTCATACTCAGTTGATAGTCCTACTTCATACGCCCCCAAAACAAATGAAAGAAATCAGAAAAGAAAGAGACTCCTTCCACCACATCTACAAATCTATCAGTATCTGTACTGATATACTGAATTACCCATTTCCTATCCAGAACAAATTCCTCCACTTATGCATGCACCAAATCCTGTCCCATCTTATCATTCTAGAAATTCTTCCTCTTTCTCCAATACCATCACTTCGCTGTCTTTTTAATTGGATCACGCACATCATGATGTATTTTGCCTTCTTTTCAAAACTTCTCTTGACTCCTCTTGCTCCATTAGTTACCACTTCATTGTTCTACTGCACTTTGCAGCAATATTTCTAAAAATCATTGTCTCTTCTAGTTATGTCTAATTCCTCTTGCACTATTTTCTCTAAAATCCACTCAATTTAGGTTTTTATCATTTGCCCCTCTGTAAAAACTATTTCAATGAAAAGCAATGTACTCCAAAGGTCAATTCACAGACGGCATCCTATTTAATCTACCAGAAGCTTTCTCTTTGACACAGTCTTGGTTTTCCTTCTGCATTAATACCTATACCTTCTTATCTTGATTGATTATTCATCTTGCAAACCCATGAATGTTGGAAGGCAGCCAAATTCAGTCCTTAGTTCACTCTTTAGTTTGTACACTCCCTTTGTAAAGACTTAACTTTCTTAAAGACCTAACTTTATCTGACCTCAGTGTTCTTTTATCCTATTTTAAAATGTACATCTCTCCATTTGAATGCCCAATAACATCTCAAGAGCTTACCATGAGAAAATCTGAACTTCTCTTCCTCCACCAAAAAAAAAAAAAAAAAGAACTTACTTACCTGCAGTAGTCACCATTTAGTTGTGACAGCAAGCTTTTGGTTGTTCAGGCCAAATACTTAGGAGTCAGTATTAAGTCCACACTTAATGTCATGTTTCTCCCTTGCCCTATATCCATCCTATCCATCATGGAATCTTACTGGTTCTATTCTACTTTTTGTTAGATCCAATGCTACTCCTATAAGGTGGATTACTGTTTGTCTTTGACTGGATTATCACACACACAAAAAAGCCATCTAATTAGTTTCCCTTATTCCACTATTGCATCCCACAACACAACAACCAAAGTGATTTTTCAAAACTAAGTAACATGATGCTTCTCTGTTTAATACTTTCCAGTGGCTTCTTGTCTCTCATACAGAAAGAAAAACTAAGTCCTCACAATGGTCATTTAGGTTCTGTTCAATCTGACTCCTTTGCTTCTCTACCCATCTCTCCTATTCTTCAACTCTTGTTCATTTGTTTCCAGCAACACTGACCTCTTTGATGCTCCTCTAGTAGCATCCTATTGCCTCAAGTATTTGTAGTTCGCTCTCTATGCTTTTCCCCAGATATCTATCAACATTGTTAATTAACTTCCTCATCTCCCACAACATTTAGCTTAAAAGTTGTCTTTTCAATAAGGCCAACCCAGACCACCTATTAAAACTGACACCCACCCACACCTCTACTTACGGTCCCCTTAGTGTGTTCTACTCCCCCTCCCATATGCACAGTGCAGTATAAGCAAAATTCAATAAATAGAATTCATTTACAAATTTTATTTATCGTATATTGTTTATTTCTCACAATTAGAATTCAAGGTCCATGTGGGCAGATATTTTATACTCTGTAATATCCCAAATGCCTCAAACAGAGTCCAGTACAAAATGTGTTGAGGGTCTGGATAAATTAATGTTTTCTTAGCAATAGTTCATGGTCTCTGTTATTTTCCAAAGATGATCTGCAAAATTCTGTATGTGAATGTGAGTGTGTGCGTGGCAAGAAATCTTAGAAAACATCTGGTCCTGTGGCCTTTCTGTATTCTTTACTTCACCCCTCCCCCAATGGCAATGGGTTCGTTTTTTGTTTTGTTTGTGATAATATTGATTTAATTCAAACTGTATCTGAATTACAAACAGTACAGACAACCACTGAATTACAAGCAACTTCTCTTCCCAAATCTCTCCTTGATTAGAATTTTTACATAAATCAGAAGATAGATATTTTTAATAATTGTTGATTGTTGTTAGATGCTGTCCAGTCAATTCTAACTCATAGTGACCCTATGTAGAGCAGAAAGAAACATTGGCCTGCCCTGCACCAAACTCACAACCATTGCTATGCTGGAGCTCATTGCGGCAGCCACCGTGCCAATTCATCTCATTGGGGAGTTTCCTCTTTTTTTGTTGACCTTCCACTTGACCTAGCATGATGCCCTTCTCCAAGGACTAGTCCCTCCTTGAATAATATATCCAAAGTATAAATAAAGTCTGGCCATCCTGGCTTCTAAGGAGCATTTTAGCTGTACTTCTTCCAACACACATTTGCTTGTTCTTTCGTCAGTCCATGGCACTTTTAATATCCTCCTCCAACATTGTAACAAAAATGCATCAATTCTTCTTCTAACGTCTTCTTCATTCATTGTCCAACTTGCAAATGCATATGAGATTATTGAAAATACAATGGCTTGGGTCAGGTCTTAGTCCTCAGTTCTCCTTAGGCCTCAGACTGACCTCTTGGATCTAGAGCACTTTAAATAGGTCTTGTGCAACAGATATGCCCAATGCAATATGTCATTTTATGTCTAAACTGCTTCTTTCATGAGTGTTGATCGTTGCTCTGAGCAAAATGAAGTATCTGACAACTTCAATATTTTCTCCATTTAGCTTGGTATTATTTATTGGTCCAATGTTGAGGATTTTTGTTTTCTTTACATTGAAGTGCAACATATTGAAGGCTATTCTTTATTTTGTTGACAACGTAACTTTGTGTGTGTGTGTGTTTTCAAACAAAATAAAATATCTGAGGGGTTATCAAAAAGTTTGTGGAAATATTCCACTATCTTTTAATTCCATTTTCTCTAAGCTTTTAGGAGCCATCTTGTGTATATTAACTATATAAGAAATAAATATTGTAGGTGGATTCCTTCAGATAGTTGAAGTCTTTGTTGTTCTGCAGAGGCCACTTCACACACAGAGGCCTCAATTTACTTTGAGAGAGATTTTACTTTACAGATGAGAAAACTGAGGGCCTTAGAGGGTATGTGATGCGCAGACTGTGACTGACACGCACAAAAGCAGCTCTCACAGCCTCAGGGCTTCTCATCTATAATTTTCTGTACTGCTCCAGTCTGCATGTTGATCTTAGAAGTGAAGAAACCCAGACACAAAACCCAGGAAGACAACATTATGGCTGTTTGATTTTTCTTTCTTGCTTCCTGAACTTTCTGTTATCTTCTTTCACAGGTTGACACAGGCAAGAATTTAGTCACACTCCCCAACACAACTGCCACTGCAATTCTGCGCAGTGATGAGACCATCTGGCTGGAGCCTGAGGTTCTCTTTGCAGGACCTCGTCAAGGTGAGACAGTTTAGAGAAAGGATCATACAAAAGGAACTAACTGATTCTGTTCAAAGAGATGAATTGTTTTCCTAAGCTTGTGCTCTCTCTTGTAGCATTTGAGTTTCCTCAAATCAATTACCAGAAGTATGGTGGGAAACCTTATACTTATGCATATGGACTTGGCTTGAATCACTTTGTTCCAGACAGGGTAATTAATTCATATTACTAATATTGGCGTAGTACTTTGAATTATATGTTGGTTCTATGATTTATTTGTTTGTTTTTCTTTCTTACAAACAGCTCTGTAAACTGAATGTCAAAACTAAAGAAACTTGGGTATGGCAAGAGGCTGATTCATACCCATCAGAACCCATCTTTGTTTCTCACCCAGATGCAATGGATGAAGATGATGGTAATGAAAGCAATGGAAGTGTCTGAATACTTCCTCTTTACTGGACTTTTAAATATTGGTCCACTAAGAGAAAAGTTAGGTTAATTACACCCTAATGTTCTATCTAATAGAAATTATATTTAATTCCACAATAGTGAAAACACTAAAGAATTTAAGCATAGGATGGATAGTCAGTAAGTTTTATTTTGTTGTGGTTGTTGTTTTGTTAGGTGCTATTGAGTCAATACAAACTCATAACAACCCTGTTCACTACAGAATGAAACACTGCCCGGTCCTGCACCAACCTCACAATCGTTGCTACATTTGTGCCAAATGCTGCTGCCACTGTGCCAATACATCTCATCTTCAGCCTTCCTTTTTTACTCTGACCCTCCACTTTACCAAACATAATAGCTTCCTCCATTGACTGGACCCGCCTGATAGTATGTCCAACGTATGAAAGACAATGTCTGGCCATCCTGGTTTCCAGGGAGCATTCTGGCTGTACTTCTTCCAACACAGATTGAGGGTTTTTCTGTAGTCCACCGTACTTTCAATATTCTCCTCCAATATTATAACTCAAATGCAACAATTCTCCTATGATCTTCCTTATTCACTGTCCAACTCTCACATACATATGAGGTTATTAGAAATACCATGGCTTGGGTCAGACTCACCTTAGTCCTAAAACTGACATCTTTGCTCTTCAATACTTTAAAGAAGTCTTGTGCAGCAGATTTGCCTAATGCAATATGTCATTTGATTTCTTGACGGATGCTACCATGAGTGTTGATGGTTGATCCAAGCAAAATGAAGTCTTTAACAACATCACTCTTTTCTCCATTTATGTAGATGTTATTTATTGATCCAGTGGTAAGGAATTTTGTGTTCTTTACATTGAGGTGAAACCCATACTTAAGATTGTGGTCTTTGATCTTCATCAGCAATCATTTTAAGTCCTCTTTGCATTCAGCAGACAACTTTGTATCATCTGCATATCGTACATATTTATTGAGTCTTCCACCAATCCCAATGCCACGTTTTTCTTCTTGGATTATTTGCTCAGCATACAGATTGAATAAGTATTGTGGAAGACTGCAAACCTGGTGCACACCTTTCCTAATTTTAAACCACTCAGTGCTGCCTGGTTTTGTTCTAACAACTACCGCTTGGACTATGTATAGGTTCCTCAAGAGCACAATTAAGCATTCCAGAATACCTATTCTCCACAATGCTGCCCATAACTTGTCATGATCCACACAATCAAAAGCCTTTGCACAGTCAATATTCTCTACTTTCGGCCAAAGTTCATCTGATGTCAGCAATGATATCCCCCATTCCACATCTGCATTGGAATCTGGCTGAACCTCTGGAAATTTTTTGTAAATGTATGGTTACAGCCATTTTGAATTATCTTTAGCATAATTTTGATTACATGGAATATTTAATGATATTGTCTGATGATTTTCGCATTCTGTTGGATCACCTCTCTTTGGAAAGGGCACAAATATGGATCTCTTTCAGTTAGTTGTCCAGGTTTCTTGGCATAGATAGTGAGTGCCTCCAGTACTGCATTAGTTTGTGCAAAGACTTCAATTTGTGTTCCATCAATTACTGGATCCTTGTTCTTTGCCAATGTCTTTAATGCACCTTGGACTGCTTCCTTCAGTATCATTGGCTCTTGATCATATGTTAACGCTAGAAATGGTTGAACATCAGCTAGTTCTTTTTGGTACAGTGACTAGGTATTCCTTCCATCTTCTTCTTTTTTTTTTTTTTTTCTTGACAATTACTAACTCCTCTTTTAGCAAATCCAATCAAGTATAGGTCCTTTTAGCAAATCCAATCAAGTATAGGTCGAAAGCTGGCTTACAAACTTTCCATAATCATAATTCCCAATATTCCTATCACACATGTATGTCTGTTTTACAATAATACACAGAAGCAGTCAATATCCATAAGGCAGTCAAACACATTAACCTTTTAAAACACTGGAGTTCAATCTTTCCCTCTACCTTGGACTAACTCCATTCAAATGCATATGGCCTTGGGAGCTCAGATCAGCTATCTTTTCTACCCAGCATGACATCAGCTCCAGGCAACTCTAGAAGCTGCTTTCTTTTCAGCTGAAGCATTTTATCTTATCCCCCTTTGTTTTTTCTCCCACAAAACCTCACAATTTCTAAGGTCTATAGCCATTGCAATGAATCCTGCTCATAGCACCAAATGCTTAAACCAAGTAGGGACCATGTTTGACTTCCTCTGAGTCTGGACTAGTCCTCAGACTCGGGGCATGATACAACATCTAATAGCTGTCTAAATTCTAGCTAGTATTTTGAGAGAGGTGAGGATTATTTTCCCACTTTCCAAAACCACCTCTCTGACTAATCAGTGAAAGGGTCACTGATTCTAGCATTTTTTGCCAATTTAGCTACCCTTTGTAGGGCATCTCTTGTGTAGTTTATGAAACTCTATTGGTTATGGTGGTGGTCCATCCATGTTCTTTTTTTGCTTTATGTATCATTCAATATTTTGTCCATAAAATATTTCAGTATTGCAAGTTGAGGCTTGTATTTTTTCTTCAGTTCCCTCAGCGTGAGGAAAGCTGAGTGTGTTCTTCCCTTTGGGTTATCTAACTCTGGCTTTTTGCACATTTCCTTATAATATTTGACTTTGTTTTCTTGAACTGCCCTTTGAAATTCTCTGTTCAGCTCTGTGACTCTTCATTTCTTCTATTTGCTTTAGCATCTCTATGGAGTGCAAGCTTCAGAGTTTCTTCTGACATCCATTTTGATCTTTTCCTTGTTTCCTGTGTTCTTAATGACCTTTTGCTTTCTTCCTTTATGATGTTCTTGATGTCATCCCACAACTCTTCTGGTCTTTGGTCTTTAGTGTCTAATGCATCAAATCTGTCCTTGAGATGATATCTAAACTCAAATGGGATATGTTCAAGATCATATTTTGGCTCTTGTGGATTTGTTTTCGTTTTCTTCAGCTTCTGTCTTAGCTTACATGTGAGCAATTTATGATCTGTTCCACATTCTGCCCCTGGCCTGGTTTTGGATGGTGATATGAAGGTTTTCCACTTTCTTTTTGCACAGATGTAGTCAATTTTATTTCTATGTATTCCATCTGGTGAGCTCTGTGTATATAGTCATCTTTTATTGTCGGGTCCAGCCTCAACAGGGGAGTGGGTTTCATGAAGAAGGGATGTCTGGGAGGCAAAAGAGAGGTTACACAAAGACACAGACACACAAGGTTGATGCAAGCTGACTGGCAGACATTCTTCTGCAGACATTGCTTGCAGAACTAGTTAAACCCCAGTCTTTTATTATCATGAAGGAGGAATTTGACACAAAAGAGAAGAATGAAAAAAATGTGGTTGTTCTTTTGAGACAGGACACGATGATTCACAGATTTTATCTTAAAATAGTTTTCCAAGGGCATCATGCTTCTCGTGATAATCTAAAATCCTTATTTCCATATGAAAAGGTCAAGCAAGCTATTACAGATTATATATTGACTAGGCCTATGTTACCTAGGGTAGCAATCTGCGGTTTCTTAAAGGTGTCTAACATATTCTCAACACTTAATCACAAATGGGTGAAGGTGAGAGACTTAGAAATTTCATAAAAGGGCTAAGTTTTGATTTCTGAAGAGACACAAGCTGTTCTTGTATATTTTGCAAGCAGAAAATACAAGCTTTCATTTGTGAACAAGATTTCAGACACTTGGCTTTATTTGTTTGACTAATAATCCTTTCTTCTTTACTTCTGTAGCTCCAGGGAAGGTGAGAAACAGGTTTTAACCTTTCTAATGAAGGTGAGGTTTCGCCTCCACCTTCCTTTTTCATTCCAGGTTCCATATCCAAATGTTCCAATGGTTACTATATCCTCAGGGGGAAGAAGAGCATCTGGATTAAACTGATTATACCTGGGGGTGGCTTGAGGGGGCTGCCACTATCATCCTTTAATCAAATACTCCTGGAATTTACCATTCCATTCCAATTGCAAATTCTGGGCAGTTTTTCTCCAAAACCTTTTCTCATAATCTCAATACACTTGTTCCTGCTTTTCCTGAGTCATTTGAGGAAGCTTTACTGCCTCAGCTCTAGAAGGGGTTTTGGTCCCATTGTTGTTCATGGACATCAAAAGTTCATGCTTCAAGTTAATACCAAACATAACTGAATAGTTAGATAATGAGCAGTTCTGACATTCCTCCCAGGTGGCCACCGCCTGTTCCTCAGATAGATCTGTTCCCAAGACCTCACTCACTGCTAACACCTTTAAGGCAGTGACATTCAAAGTAGTGCCATTAAAAGAGGCATTACGTACATTGATATCAAAAGAAAGCTTTTTTCCCAGAAGCTACAATTACCGGAGTTAAGAGCATAAAGGGCAAGTACAGAATGCACAATATGAGAACTAAAGAAAATTGTACAAAGGTAGCCAACCAGTGAGTTTGCAAAAAGCCTATGAACCTGGGACTTCAGGAGGTCACGTCCTTGGCCCTCAGGGTCTATGACTCACAATTCTGAGGAGGGCCACGGGGTTGGATTTTTGTCCATCTTGTCATGGGGCCACAGCTTCTCAGTACTTGCGGATGCTGTTGCCAGCATTTTATGTTTTTCAAAGGAGGAATTTTCAATAAAGAAGTCATTGGTCTTGTGTTCTTCAGCATCATTTCTATCACTGAGGCCATATTTTCCAACTATTAATCCTTCTTTTGGCTACTAACCTTAAGGTCAGAAGTTCAAAAATACCAGCAGTTCTGTGGGTTTCTGTTCCCGTAAAGACTTACAGCCTCAGAAACCCTATACAGGGTTGCTATGAGTCGGAACCAACTCTACGGCATATAACAACAACAATCCTTTTACTTTGGTTCCAATCTGTGCATTCCAATCACCAGCAGTTATTAATATATCTTGATTGCATGTTTGATCAATTTCAGATAGAAGAAGTTGGTAGAATTCTTCAATTTCATCATCACTGCCTTTAGTGGTTGGTGCATAAATTTGAATAATATTGGTATTAAATGGTCTTTCTTGTAGGCATGTGGATATTATCCTATCACACACAGTACTTCAAGATAGATATTAACATGTTATTTTTGATGATGAATGTGACACCATTCCTCCTCAATTTGTCATTACTGACATAGTAAACCATGTATTTGTCAGAGTCAAAATGGCCATTGCCATTCCATTTCAGCTCATTAATGCTGAGGATATTGATGTTTATGCATTCTATTTCATTTTTAATAACTTTTGATTTTCCTAGATTCATACACCATATGTTCCATGTTCTGATTATTAGTGGATGTTTACAGCTTTTTCTCTTTGTTTTGAGTTTGCCCCATCAGCAAATGAAAGATCTGAAGGCTTTACTTCTTTTGTGTCATCATGGTCAACTCTACTTTTAGGAGGCAGCTTTTCCCCACTTGTATATTGTATGCCTTCCAACTTGAGAAGCTACTCTTCTGGCACTATATCTGATAATAATCTGGTGCTCTTCATCATGTTTCAATATTCAATATTCTGGTGCTGACAGTGTTCAACTGTTATTCACAAGATTTTCAGTAGCTAAATTTTCAGAATTAATCCATCTCTCCTTCTTCCTAGTCTGTCTTTGTCTGGAAGCTCAGGTGAAATCTGTCTACCATAGGTGAACTTGTTGGTATTTAAAATACCTGTGGCATAGCTTCCAGCATTACAGCAACACACAAACCACAACAGTACAACAAACTGGCACACAAGTGGTGGAATTGATAAGAAGTGGCTTGCTGAAATTGACTGAAAGAATTGGGAAAATTGTAAAATGCACCATTTAGCATTATTATAAGTTATCAATGCTTAAGAAAAAGGAGGAAGGAACACCAATTCTAATTTTTTAACTTTGTTGATCTAAATATATTTCTGGAAAAGAATATAGAGTTTCAAGAAGGAAAACTGGGTATCATAACCAATCAAAGAGAATGACAATGTGTTTTTGTGATTCTTACTTTAGTTTGTTCTTTCAGTAAACTGGCTAGAAAGGGTTCCAAGTTACAGCCTGTAATGTAGTAACACATCTGTAAAATATCATTCTTATTTAACTATTTGTTAGCTGGGACAGGGTGGCTATCTAGTCTCCCTGAGGTTAAAATATGGAAAGCCAAAGAAAAACAAATAAAATACAGAATTTTGGAACCATTTCATGCTAAGCAAATTTGCACATACAATTCATACAGTTACAACTGCAAAAGATTTGTCTTTATATTGTTTGAAAAAAAATAAGACACTACCTAGGTCTTAAATATTATAGAAATGATAAACCTTGCTGTTTCAAGCTCCTTTAATACACATTCTTGTTTGACAACCACAATACATTTTTAAATAGGTATATTCATTCATGCATCCAGTAAGTATTAAATAAACATCTACTGTCTTAGTTATCAAGTGTTACTATAATAAAAATACCACAAGCTGGTGGCTTTAAAGAACTGCAACTTATTTTTTTTCACAGTGGTGGTGGTGGTATGCCACAGAGTCAATTCTGACTCATGGTGACCTTGCATAGGGTTTCTGAGGCTATAGAGTTTCACTGGAGCAGAAAATCTCATCTTTCTCCTATGGAACAGCTGGTAGTTTCAAACTGCTGACTTTAAGTTTAGTAGCCCTGAGGTTAAAAGTCTAAATCAGGGTATTAGCTGTTAATATCTTCTGTGGGCCTCTCTACTAGTTTCTGGTATCTGCCAGAAATCTTTGGTGTTCCTTTGCTTCTAGATAGGTCCCAGCATCTCTCTTTCTATTGTGTGTGCTTCTGTATCTATCCTGATCTTTTTATAAAAGATCTCTCAGAAGTGATCAGAGCAAATGGTTAAGTACTTGATTATTAGTCAAAAGATTGGTAGTTCAAACTCACCCAGAAGCAACTTGAAAAATAGGTCTGAAGATCTGCTTCTGAAAGGTCACTGTCTTAAAACTCTATGGAGTTTCTGGAGCAATTCTGCTCTACACATGGACTGGATGGCAGCTAACGACAGTTGTCATCAGTCTTAGGACACTTCTTATGTTAGTTAAAGGAAAGCAGTGACTCCATAGGGTAAGCACTAGACTTTCAATCACAAGGTCTGTGGTTTGAGCTCACCAGCCATTCTGTGGGAGAAAGATGAGATTTTTGCTTCTGTAAACACAGGATACAGGGTTACTGTGAGTTTGAACTTACTCAGTGGCACTTAAGAATGACGCTAGTTGAATTAACTTAAATAACAAAGGAAAATCTTTATTCCCAAAGAAGGTCAAGCACAGGGGTTTATATTTCAACATAACTTTTGAGGGGATGGAATTTAATCTATTGCTGTAGTTGTTGTTGTTCGGTGCCACTGAGTCAGTTCTGACTCATAGCAACCCTGTACAGGGTTTCTAAAGAGCAGCTGGGGGGATTGAACCATTTACCTTGTGGTTAGCAGTTCAGTGCCTTCCAAAAGTGCCACACCATGACTCCATTTAATCTATAATACCTACTATATACTAGTCATTAGGATAATACATCGGACCACAAGGTGGGTGGTTCAAACCCACAAGCTGTTCCTCAGAAACCCTATACAGTGTCACTATGATTGGAACCAACTCTAGAGCACTTAACAACAATAACATTGAGATGCAATAGAGTGCAAGACACAACAACTCCTTCCTGGAGTTTATAGTTTAGGGAACATGAAGAATTTAAAATGCTTACACAGCCAGATGGTTGTCGTGGTTGTTGTTAGCTGCTTGTGCTGTTGGTTCTGACTTATAGCGAGTGACCCTACACACAACAGAAATTCTGCCCAGTCCTTCACTATCCTCACAATTGTTGTTAAGTTTGAGCCCATTGTTCCTGCCACTGTGTCAATCCATCACCTTGGGAGTGTTCCTCTTTTTCATTGACCCTCCTCTTTACCAAGCCTGATGTCCTTCTCCAGGGACTGCTCCCTCCTGACAACAGGTCCAAAGTATAAGAGGTAAAAGTTCACTATCCTCACATCTAGGGAGCATTTTGGTTATACTTCTTCTAAGACAATTTGTTTGTTCTTCTGGCAGTCCACAGTACTTTCAGCATTCACCTAGCCCACCAACTGTTCTATGGGAGAAAGATGAACCTTTCTGCTCCTGCAAGGATTTACATCCTCAGCAACTGTATATACAGAGTCACTATGAGAATCAATAACATGAGGCAATTAAAAATACCATGGCTTGGGTCAGATACACCTTAGTCCTCAAACTGAAATCTTTTCTTCTTAACACTTTTAAAAGTTTTTTTCCTGATTTTATCCATTCAATATCCTCTTATTCTGTTTGTACAATTGTTTCTCTGTTCTTCAGTCATTAGTACATAATGTATCTAATCTGTTCTTATGGTGGTCTCTAAAGTCAGTGGGAATGTATTAAAGGTTATATTTTGGCTCTAGTGGACTTGATTTAATTTTCTTCAGCCTGAACTTTTATACAAGCAATTGGTGGAGTGTTCCACAGTCGGCTCCTGGCATTGTTTTGTATTCTCCATCATCTCTTCTCAAAGTTGTGACCACTTTGATTCCTTTATATTCTATCTGGTGAGGTCCACCTTTTATGTTGTTGAAAACTGGTATTTGCAATGAAGAATTCATTGGTCTAGCAAATTTTTATCATGTGTTCTTCAGCATCATTTCTATCACCGAGGTATACTTTACAACTACTGATCCTTCCTCTTTGTTTCCAACTTTTGCATTCCAATCACCAGTAGTTATCAATGCATATTGATTGCATGTTTGATCAATTTCAGCTGAAGAAGTTGTTGTTGGCGGTGGTTGATTCTGTGCTCTTGAGTTGGTTCCGACTCATAGCAATCTTATATAGGGTTTCCGAGACTGCAAACCTTTATAGAAGAAGAAAACCTCATCTTTCCTCTGCAGAGCCTCTGGTGGACTCAAACTGCTGACCTTACAGTTAGCAGATTAATGAGTAACCCACTGCCACCACATAACTTCTTGAAAAAGTTAGTAGAATTCTTCAATTTCCTCTTCACTAGCTTTAGTGGTTTGTGTGTAAATGTGAATAATAGTAGTATTAACTGGTCTTTCTTGTAGGCGTATTGATGTAGTACAGACAACATTGTACTATAAGATAGATCCTGAGGGTTTTTTGTTGTTGTTGTTGTGTTGTTTTTTTTGTTTTTGTTTTTGTTTTTTGGTGATAGATTCTATATGATTCTTGTTTAATTTGTCATTTCTGACACAGTAAATCATACAGTTTTCCAATTCAAAGTGGCCAATATCAGTCCATTTCAACTCAATAGTACCTAGAATGTAGATCTTTATGCATTACATTTAATTTTTGACAACTTCCAATTTTCCTAGATTCATACTGCATACATTCCAAGTTCTGATAAATAATGATGTTTGCAACTGTTTCTTCTCATTTTGAGTTGTGCTAGTGAAGATCCCAAAAGCTTTACTCCATCCATGTCATTATGGTCAACTCTACTTTGAGGAGGCAGTTCTTCCGCAGTATTTTGAGCATCGTTCAACCTAAGGAACTCATCTTCCAGCACTGTATCAGACAAATATTTCACTGCTATGTATAAGGTTTTCAGCAGCTAACCATTCAGAAGTGGTAAAAGACTCAAAACAAGATGTTATATGATCTCCCATTGAGTTTTCTTAGTTTCTAATTGTAATGACTTGTCTATTTTCATGACATTTCTTCTAACGACCCTGGATTTTTATACAACTCTACTTATTTACTTCTGATTCACAGGTGTGGTTCTGAGCATAGTGGTGAGTCCTGGAGAAGGACAAAAGCCTGCTTATCTCCTGATTCTGAATGCCAAGGACTTGAGTGAAGTGGCCAGGGCTGAAGTGGAGATTAACATCCCTGTCACGTTTCATGGACTGTTCAAAAAATCCTGAGCATGTTCTAGCAAGACACTAGAGTTCTGCTTTTCTTTTTTAAATTGTGATGACAAAACCAAGAAAAACACAGCTTTATAGTCTGCAATTAAATTCTGCTCAGTTTTGGCCTGCTATATATCACAGTTTTAACTGCAGATGCACCCACTTATGCAATATTTTATAGAAATCACTCAGTTGAGCAAGCAATTCCTTTAAAACAGGCACACATTTAGATTTTCATATTTTCTCTGTGTAACAGCCAGACCACTATTGAAAAACTTTTATGTATTTGGCAATCAAATATAATTGAATGTTTTTTTATTCCTACTATTATATATGTGTATTTTAGGTACTCTTATTTTTCTAAAAACATCTAAAGCCAAAGTCCTCTACAATTCATTTATATTTGGCCTTGCTTAGTCAAACTGGCATCATGTAAAAAGGCTTAATAACTAAATGTTAAATCAAACTTTTCCTCAAACCGTTGACTATCATCTAAGAATAATCATCATGATTATGCTATATAGTGATTGCTAGAAGATTCTCAAGCTTTGTGAACTTTAACATTCCTATTTAATAAAGGCAAATGCTGATATTTACAGTGAGAAAATTTATTTATAATCAACTAAGGACTTTCAACCAAATGAAATCTCAGAGTTAAGTTATACATGTATTAAAATATTATGTAACATCAAAGCAAGTACATATTTTAGAGATTGCAGCTTTTTTCAATAGCGTATTGGTTACGAGTAGTGCTCCTAACTTCAAGGTCAACAGTTCAAAACTACCAGCCATTCTGCTGAAGAAAAAAATGAAGCTTTCTGTGCCCATAAAGATTTATAGCCTTGGAAATTCTATAAGGGGTCGCTATGAGTCATAACCAACTCCATGGCACACCACCACCACCATTGGAAGGTTATATTTTGTTGTCTCTTCTGTTAATTATATTTAAGCACAATGTAATAATTTGACTGCGAGAAAAAGAAACAATAATAAATCATTTATTTATGGTATTAATAAGTTGTAATCACTTTTGGTTTATAAATTACTTTTCTTTCTTCTGTGGTATGTGCTGAAAAAAATATGGGACTGATGAAAAAATTATTGTATCTCTTAATCTTGGTGTTTATTTTAGGACCAAAGGATTATTTATAAACATATTTACGATGATTAGCATGGTATTTGACTAGACAAAAATCATTTGAAGGAACAGACTGACCAGGTTACTTGATGAATACATTTATTTTATTTAGATATAATGCAAACTCATTTATTTTATTTTTATAAGTACCCATTAACATGTGCTTTTTAAAACAAAATCTATAATTACAGAAAAGTTAAAATGTAAAACAGTAAAGTAAAATTATGCAGAGCACATCTCAGCTCAGCTATTATTAATATTTGGGTGCTTGTCTTTTTTTAAAAAGTTTTTATTGTGAACTGAGTGA